ATAGCGCTACTAGAACTTCAAAATGTTTCGTACAACGTAATATACAGAAAATATGATCATAGCAATACGTCTAGAAGTGTCTACGATACTTTCGTCAGCAGCTGTATGTAGTTTAATTCGATACGTTGTTATACATAGTTGTGCGATTTTATAAAATCATATGGCGTTTCTGTATATTTCTGGTTCGTTTCTGGTAATATGATTTCATCAATTCAATCAAATTTGTTAATGAAAACATCATTGAGAAGATTTAATGGTATATTTACATACATTGGACGGGAGTAATTGTTATCTTGAAACTTATACTAATACAATGAAACATGTATTACGTAGGCCGAGTATAATCATGTGTGATTCTTCAAATAGATTTAATCTATGTATTTTTATATATTGTGTAAACAAAGCTAATAATTTATCATTACATTATACCGTAATTGACGACGGATCAAACTAAATTATACCAATTACATAGAAATACATTACAGCAGTTTTTACATTTTCATTTTATTCTAAATGTCATATATTTTTCATATTAACCCTTTATGCCTCGAATAGCATTTTCTTTCTACCGCTACAAATATTTCACGCTGTTATTTGATAATTTGCTATATCTGTACCGAAATTTGTATATCGTTACAAACATGTATTAAGTAAATTTCACATGGAAGTTAGCCTCGCGTAAGAGCATCCTCTTCGTCTTCTTTTTTTGCCGACCGCAACTATTGATTTATGAAGAAGTTTCTATAAGATAAAGAACGTATACTAAGTAATCAAGGGATTTATGGAATAGTATCGTCTAATCGTTAATGATTTATTTCTAAAGTAGATCCAAGGAATAGTACATTATATAATTACCAAACAGTGCAATTATAATTACAATTACAGTTTTCTCAAATTCTATCGATTTCTGGCGAATTCCGAGGAACAGCATCTTCAAATAACTTGCTTTCTAACCCTCGGAATTTTCTAAAACGAATTTTAAACCTTCGCATCGCGCCAGGTGCATTTCTAATGCGTTGATAACGCTGTTCGAATAAAACATTGCACTTTGAAATAAAATACTATCGTGAGTACAAGCTTTCTCCAAATCTATCGATTTTTGACGAAATTTCGTAATTTCGGATTTTCGGATAACTTTCCTCTTAATCCTAGCAATCCCGTGAAACACTTTGCACCACCGAGCGCGTCCGCAACGCGTTAACGATATCATTCGAATAAAAAATTGTACTTGATGGAATATGTCGAAAATATAGGATACGATTGAAGAAGGATTAATGACGAAATGAAAAGACAGGGACGGGGAAGAGTCGGTGAGACGACAGAACGATCTCGCAAGCGACTCGCGAAACGCGCATCGACCGGTCACCGAGCGGATATCGAACGTTTTGTTGGTCTCGTCGGTGCGATAAAAACGGGCCGCTCTATCATCCCCGTAAATCTCTGTCTGCTGGTGTGCATTTCCTTTGAAAGTGTTTCCTCCGTCGCTCGGTTCGCTGGCCTCCTCGGCTTCTTGCGCTCTTGCGACTTTATTTATCGCGATCCACCTGACGATTCGTCCGCCTCCAACCAAATGTTGCGCAACATTGCGTTGAATTTCGCGCGATATCGCGATCACTCGAACGATTACGACGCTTCTACGATTATTCTCGCTCGATTTTTAGCTGCGAAAATATAAATCGGGTCGGACGAGCCTCGGTGTGAAATTGATTTTCCATTTAATTTATTTCTCGGCATCGTTGACTCGGGGAAGCTACGAAGCCGGTAGAATTAGAGTTCCTTGACAGTGGTGTTCGTGATCGTAAAATAACCGATACTCTTGCGTTACGTAAGACTTCTTAGCGATGATAGAAAACGAAAGAAAATTATACGAAGCCGTTGGTTTCTCACAGCAAATTTTGTGTCGATCATGGAAAAAGGGAAAACCGATTTAGTATTTAGCATCGACTTTGAAACTCTTCAAGTTGCAAATAAAGAGAGAATGAACATTGTTTTGCGTTATATAAATAAATTTTCGGATTAAATAGAAGAACATTGGGAATTCTTGATCGAGCAGTTACATTACGCAATTCTGGAATCGATGACAGCGTGTTCGTTGACGAACGCGACAGAAACGTCGTTTACGATTACGTAAAAGAGGAGAAATATCGAAGTTTGCTACGCGAGCTCCTGTTCGCGAAATTAATAATTCCTGCAACTAATAAATATATTCTGCGGTTCTTGAGTTCCACGTGATTAAAGAAGGTAATAAAAGATGGCAGATTCTTGCGATATTAATTAGTCGCAAGGTGTATATGAAACCGTAAGAGAAGGATCGAGACTCGGCAGGGTAAAATTACTTTGATTTCGTGAGTAGTACGGATACGATAGGATAAGGCTTGATGTTGCTTTGAGCTGATCTTTGGAAGCAGTTTGCATTTGTGGTGCGCATTACCTGCGGTGTATTGAGAAACGAAGACAAGCAGCGAGCGAAACTAATTAGTTCCACCGTGAAAATATTTACCTGCTACTAGAAATTGATACAATTCCCTGAAATATTATACCGGTGAAAACACGATATTATATGAAATTCTGTCGCGTAAATAAAATTTTGTGTCACTTTAAATTTTAGAATGAACTACACACGAGAATTAGTCAAATACACGTTGCTACGTGTACTTCTTAAGAACCAAGCTATCAACGCAATTTGGACACACGAAACTAGGACCACAGTGTGCATGATGGCGAAAGTGAATGGCAAATTCGTCGATTGGAAAAAAATCACGTCGAGAATTTCAACTTTTCCTCTTTCGAAACTCGTCTGGCTTTTCTTGCTCGCGCGATCTCAACTTCGTGGACCATCTTGCGGATGCGCGTAGCAGTATGAGCGTCGAACTAAAATCCATGAATTTGTCATTCATCAATTCCAAATTGTTAATTAAACATTCCTCCTTTCGTGGAAATTCATCGTAAATTTTTCCTCGTAAAATCTGAATCCTATCGGCCTACTTTACCAGTAAAAGTATTACACGCAAACGATCGATTTGTCATTCGTCGACTCGAAATGAGAAACAGTCGCGTCAAAAATCCAGACTTCCCTTCGTCTGAAACTCATATGGAATTTTTTCCACGCGAAGTCTGAACCCTGTGGACTACCTGTCGCGATTCCACGCCGCGGTTCAAACCTCCTTCCGCCACGGTCGTATTTCGAGAACCAAGATCTAACAAACCACGACGCATACCGGCCGCGTACATCGTCGCGCGGCCTATAAATCTCCTCGGCCCATAAACAAAGCTTTTGATGCAAAAGGTCGTTGCAGCATATGCGTGACGAGTTGGTCGGCTAGCAGCTCGCGATGCACACACGTACAACATACGGATGTACGCGCGTACACACAAAGACACGTATATGACGCGAGAGGGCGGGTGGATGCGTTGCCGGACGAGCCGAGGGAACAGAGTTGCTGACGCTGTTGCTGAACCCTGCTGAAAGCTCTCTGACGGCTGAATTTAACGCCAGCCCCGTCGACCCGCCGTGTAACTGGCAGCCTTTGCGCTCCAGGAACGTGGCCAGTTTCCACGATCGCCCTTTTGACTCTGCATCGAGAGACAAAGAGGGATGCTTGCCGCGGGTACATGGTGTTTCGTGGCGAACGTTGACGAGCTTAGCACGAACAATCGAACGTACAGCGGAGGTGATTTTTATAGTTTTTCGAGCGATTTTTCGAGGTAAAGCAAAGTGGAATTGGAATCTTCTCCGATGATTTTCGCACTCTATTTTTTTTTTTTGTCCTCTTTTGTTCGCGGATTTTTAGCGTTTATCGATCTGAAACGTACGTTTGAAAATTTCGGGATTTGCCGGTAGAAGAGGAAAGTTTCTCGAATGATTCTAGAGCTTTGTGAGTTACTTTTTAAAGGGGATATTGGCGAAGTGGCGAGGTCGACGTGATCGACGTGAAACTATCGTTGGACACGAAGCGGCATAATTTTTATAGTTTTCGGTGGTTCGGAGATTTTCCGAGGTGGCGCGAAAGCTCGGTTGGAATTTTCTTCGGTTTAAGAATTTTGGTGTTCGCGAGCAGAGGAGAAAAGTTTCTCGAGTCACTCGTCGACTTTGTGGGCTACTTTTTAAAGGGGATATTGGCGAAGTAGAGAACGTTGACGAGATTGACGCGAAGCTATCGTTGGAGTAGGTTGATTTTTATAGTCTTCGGTGGTTTTTTAAATTTCTTCGGGACTTTCTTCGATGACTTTTTCACTCTTACGGGTTTCAGCGTTTATTGAGAAATATTCTCGAGACGTCGAACACGATTCCTCGAGAATTTTGAAATCTGTAAGAAAAGTGCAGATTGTTACGTTATTTATGAGCTCCGAGGATTTTTTTTCATAGGAAATATTTGTGAAATGACGAAGGTTAACGAGATAAAGTTGATTTCTATTATATTTTTCAATCCGTTTCAACATTTTTTAAGGAAAAATATCGACATTGAAAAAGTTGATACAAAACAACTATTAAACACAGTAGGATGGTAATTTCGCAAGTTTCTGAGATCGTTTTGCAAACTTCGAACGCTTCTTCTATTTCTACATTTCAATTTCTTGCCATTCTACTCGGATGACATCGATATCGAGTAATACAAGTTGACAAAAGCTTATTATTAATGTGAAATATTCATCAAACGTAAGACAAAGGTTTGTTAAATTTGTTTCTTCGATTTGTGAATATTAAGAAGAATATTAAAATTAGTATTAATTTATTAATTTAATTCCATTCGTCGATTCCCAGTCGTTTTATCGGAAAACGTTACTACTGAACTGTACTATAAAAGTATAGAATTATCTTGTAACTGAAATGAAAGACGTGGAAGAAACTCAAAGAGATATCAATCGGCTGTACATATCTGTAATGGATGCGATTAGAAGGCGTTGACTGTCAGCAGAATAAGAGACTCGTTTTCGACGTGGAACCGTCCGCGACAGTAATGGGCGTTGCGTGATATAACTCGTCACAGGTGTGTTCACCACGATATCTCCATATGTTGTACGTCTCTTTCCCAAGGCTTACTTCCTTACTTCCACCCATCCTACGCTGTTAAACATCAAAAAAATTTGTCTTACAAGCAAAACCTGCCATCGATTGGCATCTCTTCGCGGCAAATCTTCTTCGACGAATATGGACGCAAATTTTCTTCATTCCCACGTTACGTTATTTCCACGTCGACAATTTGCACGCTGTTACTCCATTTTATTTCTATTAACAGAGAATAGGAAAAAAGAAGATGGTTATCGTAGATGGATATATTTATTGATATTTATAACATTCTTCTCTTCCCAAAACACTCAAGTTGAGATAAGAAAATTCTCGAAATATTAGGTTGTTTGGAAAGTGTCAGACACGCCTTTTACAACGATGCATCTTTATGCAAACATGAAACCTAATCTGTCGAACGTTTTTGATAGAACAAAATGGATCATACGTAATTCGATAAAATAATATAAAACGGGAAATGTGCATTCATTACTTCCTTATAAAACGAAAGAAACTTTTCCGACCACCTAATACAAAGATGCCTTAACACTAAACTGTCAACTTGCAATATGGGTATACCTAAGCGTGTTATGCGTAATTAATCAAAATAAAATTAATATAACGAAATAGGCAAGTATATAAAATTGTTGAGAATTGTGGATCTCTGAAGTCGAAATAATGTTATAGGAACACTAAATTTATATCGAGTTTTAATATTAAAATAGTAATATATTTATTTCATGGACGATTTCTTATATATTCATCGATACACACTTGCACGCGTCTCAGCACTTTCCTCTGTACCCGACTGTTAACCGACTGACTAGTTCACGTTCATCTGTTTCGAGACACCGCGCTCACACATACCTCCACACACTGATATTCACATACAAGTATCTCTACTGCGCATTTAACCCAGTCCAGCACAGAAAATTATACATATCTCAACAAAAGTGAACGCTAATATTCTCAAAAACGCTTTAAAAATTTTTGAAAAATAAAAAACCTGATCTTCCATGCTTCTATCGTTAACCCTGCTGCGAGCCTTCAGCTTTTACGTTCGAATCTCGCTCTTATTTCGACGATCGAGAAGACCGATGATTTACAAAATCTCTGGCGCGTTTGCTTCGTTTTCCTCTGCAATGGAGGAAGCTTGTCAGTGATAGAAAAATAAGGATCGATGATTGCTCGGTGTTTCCTCTCGAGCTTGAGAAATCTGTTAGTGACAGAGAAATACGATCGAGTGGAAGATAACCGAAATAACGCAACAGGGCTAAACCAATGCTCAGCCATTTGTAACTCGAAAATCGAATCTGAAAATCTTCTGCGCCGTCCTCTTCTTCTTTAACCCGTTCGAAAACCCGCAAGAAAACGAAAGAAAAGGTCGTTAATCACGGCCGCAGACCGGTGGCCGGATTTCGCTGGCGACAAACAGCCGTAATCATACACCAAGCGTATTACTTACCGCGAAACGTGGGTAATATGAACTGAATCACAGCCGTGGTGATTCCCACATTCCCGGAATAGCGTCACGCCGACGAGGCCGAGTTCCAACCCCATCCACAGGCCGCCTCCTTTCTCTCGGCAGTCTGTCGGATCGTCAGCGACCAAACCTAAAACCGCGACATCCACGACGAACCAATTAGCTTCTCGAACACAAAAATTACAATCTCTGGAAAGGATATTTCGTATTATCGTAGCTAGAGCGGCGGATAAACGGAAATTTGTAAAATAAGAAGCAGACACAATGGTGGAGTAAGTCAGAAGGAACAAGCAATGCGAGAAACACTAGAATTTTAGAAAAAAGTGTCGTAATTGACAAGGACAATCGAGATGACCTGTTATCGACAGATGTTTGGCTCGACGATATTAGCTTTTAGTTTTTTTTTTTTTGTTAATGTTGTTTATACTAAATGTTAATTATTTTATCAGAAGTCATTATACACAAGTATGGATTTTCAACTTCCATTTGTCCGTCAAGGTGTAGAAAGACACCATAGGTTTACAAAATGGATTTACGTTTGATAAGAGCGACGAATAAATATATTGAGTTGGCACCAATTTTCCCAATTTTACAGTTTCACGCCGTATTTACGTATTGACGATTATGTTAAATTCTACCAACAATATGTATTAATAAACAAATTGTGTAGCATGAATTGCCGTTAATAATATATTAACCCAATAGGTGTACAGTTATTACAATAATAATAATAATAATAAAACAAATGTATTAATAAAATGATAGTACATCGCGAAAGTATTAAATGCAAATATTATATATCGCTACTTACTCATTGGTTTTAATGGTTTTTTAACGATTGTCTCAAACAGCAATTCTCCTAACGACTCCCTCACTTCTAAAGATTGTTGTATTTTATTTGTCTACAAAAATAAGAATGATAAATGTACAGATTGTATTGGGTTGGTAACTAAGTGATTGCGGAGTTTGTCATTAGGTGGTACTGACAAAATCCGCAATCACTTAGTTGCCAACCTAATATATACAGTGGCACAGTTTCAGTGCAAAAGTTAATAAAATTCACAGTGTATCGATTATAAAAAAAAACGTCGAAATGTTTCTTACAATACACGCGATACGTGCGTACGTTATTTTTATGACAGCAATGATAGTTGGAAAATAATTTCCGAAATCGTTGCATGCTTATTACGTGTTTTGTGTTTTCTACGAGAAGAAGAATACGGTGGATGGAAAAGCGAAAAAGGGAAGGGCAGTCGAGTAGCTAACCGGCGAAACGGCCGGAACAAACAACCAAACGGCCGAAGAAAAAGCTGGATACGCCGTCTGCGCGGCGCCTCGCGATTTTCGAATTCTCTGCTCGCGCGTGTGCCTCGGTCCTCTTGATAAGCGTTCGTGCTTGATCGATCGCGGACTGTCGTGGCGGATGAGACACGCGATTAAAGAGAATTCCACGGTCGAGTGTCTGATTCTTGGATGACAGTTTGGGGGGATGAAAGGTCGACGACTCGTCGGGTTTGCTTCCGATTTTCGAAGCAAAAATCCTAAAATCGTCATTGCTAGACTGCGAAATTCGATGCATTTATAGGACGCTTAAAATTACTAAAACGCACGCAATATGAAAAAATATACGAAATATCCAGAGTACGACGCTTGTTATAACGTTCAACGAAGGAAATAAATTACTTAGCTTCCACTTGTTTAATCACTTGTTTCTAAAAATACGAAATTACATAAAAAACCGCGCTACAGTCATTTCTGACACTGAGACGTCTACCGAGAGACGACTGATGGATTTCCTTCAGCAGAATGGAATTTTCATAAGTTCTCGTAAACGCGTGAAAGTCTCGTCTGAGTTTCACGTCCTCGTGATATTTCCTTGAATCTAACGAGATTGCCGTAATTTTTGATTATTTAACATCACCAAGAAGTGTATCTTACGTGAAACCTATCCGATAGTTTATTTTCTAAATATTTTTCCAAAAGTGAAAGACGCCAGAGTTTTAGACAAATAGAACGAGATTTCCAAAAAGAATGAAAATTCAATAAAAAATTAGCAAGATAGAAAATAACCAACTAAACTGGAGGAATTTCAAATAAAACAGGATTTTCGTAAAATTTCAAAGATAAAAATACGAAGAAATTGGGAAAGATTTAAACGAAAGAGAAGATAAAGATCAAGTTCGTTCGACGTATATGGATACTCGAGTTAATTCGGAAAAATCATGCGGAGGAATAGTTCGTCGGGGTAGTTTTCAACGCCATAACAACGCGAATCTGATCGACGGATAACGAGGCGAAAGTGGGAACGCCTAATTGTTGAACGATCTCGTGAAGGAACCCTCGACCGCGATATGTACAATTATCCGGCAACTACTCGGCCCGATTCGTAACAGTCTTGCCGTGTACAACGTGCAGGGACCTCGAATTGTATTTCCAGGAGCCGACTACCCGAGGTTAATTGAATTATCTCGTACGTATGCAGCCTGCCACCCATCCGCCACGGAATATCGCATTAGAATTCGAATATCGTCGACCAAGACCGATGCATTCGGTTCCCTCGTGAAATTTCTATGTGGAATGAAATTACCGATCGAAACATTATCATCTCTTTTATCTTGCAGCAGAGTAAAATTTTTCTTTTCGATATTCGATGAATAGCAGAGGTAGGAAAATTCGATAAAAAAGTAATTAACAAGATTTCCGGTTAAAATAATCTGCGTTTCGATTAGTACAACTTTGTTCATTTTCTACCATCTTCATCCACGAATTTTCTTACAGAATACTTTTGTCAATAGCATCGCTTGCATTTTTTTTTTTTTATTGAAAGTTCATATATGATAACAAAATGTACGATAGCGATCTTGTAATGGCAACTGTAATACTTTCACATGGGTAGATATAACCTTGGGCTGAATTTAAGAAGCAACAAGTGAAGAATAATTTTTTAAATGAAGTACCTGCTTCTCAAGAAGGAATAACAGATATATAAAATAACTTGAAATTTCTATACATTCGTAAAAACAGAGATGACCTAAGAATGTTGTCGTAATATCGTAATACAAGAAGGTGGACGATAAAGATAAGACGACCAATATTGTACGATATAACTTGCCGCGAACTAATGCAATTTTCCTTTCTTTCCTCCTCCTTTTTTATTTTTTATTTTTTATACAATATAAGACTTGCGTCGTACTATGAAACGTAAAAGTACAATAAAGAAGATAGTCGAACCATTGATAGCGCGCGATAAGTAAAGATTCATCGATAGATGTCGACAAGATGGAAATCAAGAGCAAAGTAGAATATTCGCGGCGAAGATCAGACAATTAATCGAACGCGAAATAGCAAATCGAAGAAGAAACCACCGCGGCTCGGCCCTTTTTCCTCTCTGTTTTCCCTTTCTTTCTCCCTCTGCAGCCCGTTTACCCAAACTATCAATTGATGTCGAGGCACAAACAGCGGCGGCACGGTTTACACACACGCAGCTGCACCCCCGAACAGCGTCGATCCAAACAGAGCGGATATATCTGCTCGTCCATCTGTCGTTGTGTAACGGAACACCGGCTAATAGTATTAGAAATATATATATATATATATATCTGACTAAACTACCCCGCTGTCAAACCACTCGATCGACGCACCCCTGCCCCTCCTTTGGATTACGTCTCTGTAAACGCCTCTCTATCCAGTTCTACCCCGAAAATCTGCTAAAACGACTCATTGTGCTCGTGCACGGCACTGTTGAGTCACCGTTACGCTTCATCTCGATGACTCCGTTACGTGTTTCCGGTTGATTCTTAGCGGTGGACACGATGTTCTTTCGAAAACGAAGATCGTTAATACGGTTGAGAATAGGGGTAGGTTTGGGGAATTGTGGCAGCTACAGTTAAATATTGCAAAGATTGTAGGAGATTCTGTGTAGAAATGTTCTTAATTAATTTCTTTTTCATTTGTTCGTAGGAAAGTTGTTGTCGGTTCTTTGAGAATCGAAAATCATCGATACGGGTGAAAGTAGGGGTAGGTTTGGGGAATTGTGGCAGCTACAGTTAAATACTGCAAAGATTGTAGGAGATTCTGTGTTGAACTGTTCTTAATTAATTTCTTTTTCATTTGTTCGTAGGAAAGTTGTTATCGGTTCTTTGAGAATCGAAAAACATCGATACGGGTGAAAATAGGGGTAGGTTGGAAAAGGGGCGCGATTAAATACATATTGGAATAATCGTAGAAAATTCTGTGTAGGGATTTTATTAATTTCTTCTTTGATTTGTTTGTGTGAAAGTTACCGACGATTTTTTTTAGAATAAAATCGAAGACTATTAATAGAGATAAAAATAGATGTAAGGTTGGAAAATTGTGAGTCTAATTGGATATTGGAATAGGCGTAGATGATTCTGTATGGAAGTATATTTAATCGGTGTCTTCTTTGATTTGAGACGATATTAATTGTTTATTCTTTTTTTTTATTTTTTGTCAAACAACCGCACGAGAATTTTTGCAGAGTGTTACGTAAACTGTAACTCGCCACTTTCTCGAGTCGCTTCGCTGTTTTACAACAGAAAACTGCTTGAAGAACTAAGAAGCTTCTCAAAGACACGTCAAAGAACCCTTCAATTAAAAGAAGCAGACACTCTGCTTGACAATGGCCCAATTAACCTTTCTTGAAACTTTTAGCAAGGAAGCTTCCAATACAATAACGAATCCGCGTGTACCGAAGAAAGTACAAAGATCAGGAAAATTGGAAAATTATTTCTAACTTTCCTTCGTTTCTAAGCAAAATCATTCCTCTCAAAAAGAATCTTTCTTCGAACAAAATTTCTAAATTGTCAAATCCAAACTTTAAATTCTTTAAACTTTTAAACTCCAACGACATTTCCTTGTAATTTTTATTCGCTCTTCCAAACAAACCATTTTTTTTAACATTCCTTCTAAAACAATTTCTTAATTTCCAAACCAAAAGAATTTCGTCCAGAAAATTTTCACGATAAAATTTATTCCTACGATCTCTTTCATCTTTCCAAGCAAAGTAATTTATTCCCAGGAAATTTTTGAATGTGGAAGCAGAAAGAATCCCGTGCCTACGAAATCTTGGCAATAAAATTTCCACGCGATTTTCATTCACCCTTTCGACCAGAGTCACCTGTTTACCAGTTGTGGTTTAAACCGGAGGACTTCAGCGACTATAGTATCTTCTCTAGTATAGTATCTTCTCGACAGGCATGCAACGTCCACCTTCCGATTGTAAACGTGGACGCGACAAGGGTTAGCACGGGTCATGCAAAGCCACGTATTTCCGTCTGCCGTCACTCACCGCCGCCCTACATTGTTGCGTTTGCACCGATCTCTTCGAAAAACGCGCAACGAACGTCGTGACAAGTTGAATTTTCTACAAAAGCCCGGCAGTAAACCGGAGTCAAAGCAGATTCCTGCTCTTCGTTGCTCGTGTACTGGACGCGAGCCATTATTAATGTCTTGTGGCAGGAAATTTCAATTTTACTCGACGCGATATAGGGAAATTGTCTACTTGCTATTTACACGTATACTCTTCGATTCATCGGTTGTTTAACGACGACTAATTTACTAATTTAAAAATAATTTTCACGACGATTAATTTTGCGGTTGAATTAATTTTAACGACCAAGAGTTTTACTTATTCGATTTTTCTTCTCGTTGGAAATTTATGTGCACATAGATTTTCTACGAATATACTAGTTACATATAATCTTGCATCATTCTGTGCTTAATTTTTCAGCAAGTTAAATCGAGCTTTCCGTCAATCGATGTTCAATTTTCTAGAAATCTACATTTGTTTTTCCAGCAATGTGAGATTCATCTTGCGGCAACTTGAATTTCATTTTTCAGTAAATCTACATTTAGCTTCTCAGCGTCTTATTTATCAGAAATC